TTATGTCTTGCTATTTTATCCCGAAGACATCTATTATGATGTTCTATGTCTGATACAAAGTAGGTGCTTGATGAATGTGTGCTGAAAAAATGAACCAATGCTTTTGCTCCTTTCTTGCTGAAGAGAAGACACAGACAGTGGAAGAAGAATTGCTGCCAGAGATCCATTTGCCATCATTCCCACCTAGCACCTCTTAGCACTTAAGCTGGATGGCACAACACTTGTCTTTCTGACTTCAGCTTTGAGTACTAATTTAAACGAGGATTCATTAAGTCATTTTAAAGAGGTCCCACCATTATGAAATGTGTGGAAAATCACATTTTTCTTCAAAAAACTTAACAGGATCAAAAAGAAACCAGTCATCCCAGTACAAGACCAATTATAAAGGTATCTATTTCTGTTTTATTATTTGTCTTTATTTACTTTTTGAGATAAGGTCTCGCACTGTCAGCTGAACTGGAGTGCAGTAGCGCAATCATGGCTCACTGCAGCCTCGAACTCCCAGGCTCCAGTGATCCTCCCACCTCAGCGCCCCAAGTAGCTAAGGCTACAGATGCACACCACCATGTCTGGCTAATTTCTGTATTTTCTGTAGAGATGGGGCGGTCTCACTATGTTGCCCAGGCTGGTGTTGAACTTCCTGGGCTCAAGTGATCCTCCTGCCTCGACCTCCCAAAGTGCTAGGACTATAGGAGTGAGGCACCATGCCCAGCCTATAGAGGTACTCTTGACTTTTGCAACATAGACCAGAACTGGGTAAATATCTGAGAACATTCCTTCCATATCCTTCTAGTGCCAGGATGTAATACTGGAAAATACTAGGCTTGATTGGTGACATGAAAACCCAAATAGAGGCCGGGCGCGGTGGCTCACGCCTGTAATCCCAGCACTTTGGGAGGCCGAGGAGGGCGGATCACGAGGTCAGGAGATAGAGACCTTCCTGGCTAACACGATGAAACCCCGTCTCTGCTAAAAATACAAAAAATTAGCCGGGCGCGGTGGCGGGTGCCTGTAGTCCCAGCTACTCAGGAGGCTGAGACAGGAGAATGGCGTGCACCCGGGAGGCAGAGCTTGCAGTGAGCCAAGATCGCATCACTGCACTCCAGCCTGGGCGATGAGCAAGTCTCCATCTCAAAAAAAAAAGAAAACCCAAATAGAGGTTTCACTCTTGTCATAAATGACATATGAATACAAAGTGCTGTACCATATAGAAATGAAACACTTGTAAGAGGGTAGTATTAAACCAGAAAAAAACAATAAGGAATAAGGTCCTATTTCAAATTAAGAGGTTGCCCCTTCTGAAATATGAGGCTTGCTCAATCACATTCTTCATGTTATTTTGGGCCTTGGGCCTATACCTAGCAGGTAGACTGGAAGAATCCTTAAGCCACATAGGAAATGGTATTCTTTTAACCAAAATAAATCTGTCAACAAAAAGGTACAGGCTAGCTGCACTAAATACTCTCTGCAGGTTCTTATTAAAAATATAAATTAAGGTCCAGCATAGTCCCTTTACTCCCCACATCTGTTTGCTATTCTATCTCCATTATTAATACTGTAATGCTGGGTCCCCATTCAGGCAAGATTAATTCCCTGTTCCCAAAGCCTTCTGCTGACACTGCAATGAATCCATTTGGAAGGCTGTAAAGGCAGCTGCAGACATTGTTACCAACACGTGACCAGTGAGGAGATGAAACCTGGGCCTCTGAGTTTAACAAGAGAGATGAGGAAGTTGGGTTAGGCCGGTGTTCAGAGAGGTGGAATAGCCCAGTGGTTAAAAGCTCAAACTCTGAGGCTGAATGCAGCGGTTCACGCCTGTAATCCCAACACTTTGGGAGGCTGAGGCAGGAGGATCGCTTTAGCCCAGGCATCTGAGACCAGCCTGGGCAACATAGTAAAACCTTAACTCTACAGAAAATTTGAAAACTTAGCCAGGTGTGGTGGTGTATGCCTGTAGTCCCAGCTCCTTGGGAGGTTGAGGTGGGAAAATTGCTTGAGCCCAGGAGGTTGAGGCTGCCCTGAGCCATGATTGTGCCACTACACTCCTGCCTGGGTGACAGAGCGTGACCCTGTTTCAAAAAACAAAACAAAAAAGCTCAAATTTTGTACTCAAACAGCCCAATTCAATCACAGCTCTTTTACCCCTAGATCTGTAACTTTGAGCAATTCATTTAACCCCTCAAGAGACTCACTTTTCTTATCTATAAAATAGAAATAATGAGAACCTGATAAGATTGTAAAGCATTTAACACAATGACATGGAAGATAGTAAGTACTAAACAAAGGGGAAAAAGGCTATCATCATCTTCTTCATGATACTATCATCATCTCCAGAATTGGTCTCTATGCTAAAAGGCAGGACAGGAGGAGTCCTGCTACTCTTTCAACCTGCCCAGGTTAAGCAGCTACCACCAAGATAGAACAGACATGGTACAAGGGGCAAGAAAGTACAAAAGGCAAAAACCAGAAGAGGATATGACAATACAAATAAAATCAGCTCTTGATTAACCAAGCTAATGAGGGGGAGGGAAAACTACACTTATTTTATTTTATTTTATTTTATTTTTTTTTTACCACACACAATAGGATGGAAACACACTGTCTACAACAAAAAAAATACAAAATACTGGCTAGGAGGTACTATGACCTGTACATCACACCATAACATCGGGAGACTGAGTTGGAGCTTAAAACCCGAAAGACCTAGAAGAAACAAAGAGCTGACAGTAGAGCATGATCATATCAACAGCAGTAAAACCAGAAACCAATAGAACAGAGTGAGACTTATCTCCAAAAAAAAAAAAAAAAAGCATACAGGCAAAAATGAAGCAGACTAGAAAAAAAATAAAATACATAAAGGAAGTAGACAAGAATAC